CCTGCTCCTCCGATGCTGCTTGGCCTACTGTGTTCATCCAGCTCTACACCGTGTTATCTCTTAATCTTATAGCAATTGGTTAAAACTAACTGACTTTTTATTTTTTACAAGCTGTAATTGGGACAGTGGCAAAATAAAAGGAGTAACTGAATGTGATAAAAGACAGCACCAAAACAAAATGGATAATAGAATTTGAGTCGTCCTTACAGGTAAAAACGCCGAGAAAGACCCGAGGAGTATAGCCATTAAACTTTTGGAATGTGAATGAATAGGAGGCATAGGAAGATCTCAAGGCCTAAAGATTACAACGTCTAGCTAATCCCATAAAGTCATGGGATCCTGGGGCTGTCCATGGAAGTGCCCATCACTGATTAGGTATCCCACAGGATTGGGTGTTTGAATTGAGGGAAAGAATGATGACTATGTTGTATTTGATTACTGTAACACAAAATGTATAAAAATGCTGTGTTTCTTTGTAAAAGCAGAGGATATGTCAGATTCAGGGAAGATCCTTTGGCCCTCTCCCAGCATAAATTGGTTTCTGCTTGAATAAACATCTTCCACTTGCCTGAATCCTGCTTGCCTCCTGAGTCTGTGTCCTGGGTCGAGAAAAACGCTCCTACAGCATTTGAATGGGTAAGTGAATAGGCAAGGTTTAGAGGGATATAGGCCAAAAGCTGGCAAATGGGATAAGATTAATTTAGGATATCTGGTCAGCATGAATGAGTTGGACCGAAGGGTCTGTTTCGGTGCTGTACAGATTTATGATTCTATGACTGTACATGTACTGTGGCTACAAGAGCAGGTTAGATGCTAGGAATTGTGCAGCACATAACTCACATCCTGACTTTCCACAGCCTGTCCACCATCTGTAGGGCACAAGTCAGGAGTGTGATTGAATACGCCCCACTTGCCTGGATGAGTGCAGCTTCAACAACATTCAAGAAGCTTGACAGTGTCCAGGTCACAATAATCACTGGTTTGGCACCACATCCATACACATCCACTCACTCCACTGCAGATACATGGAAACACTACCAGCTCCAAAACACTATCCTGGCTTGGAAATATATCACCATTCTTTTTGTGTCACTGCGTCAAAATCCTGGAAGTCCCTCCCTGGATTGGAGAGAACTGGATATTGTGAGTCCACCTAAAGCAAATGAATACTACTGGTTCAAAAAAACACCTGACTCGGTAACCAAAAACTGCTGCCATTCCCTCCTTTCATTCTTAATATAAAGGATATTAATGCAAAGGTAATACACACCAGTCTTTAGCATCTAATCACAGCTTTTAGAAAAACTTCACCCAACATGATTTAACAAGCATACATTGTTCATAAAAGATATTTAAAACCCGGATACCATAGTTTATTCATATTTAATCATCAACATAACTCAAAGAAAATAAAGTGCTGGATATAAAGAAAGGACAGAATAATGATTTGCTGTTATAGACTTCCAGCATTTTCTGTTTCTATTTCAGACTACTATCTTTCACAGGTTTTCATTATGACCTAATTGTATCTCAGATTTCCTCCGTCTTTCCAAATTCAGAAAAAAAATTTGTCTTAGATAACAAAGTGTAGAGCTGGATGAACACAGCAGGCCAAGCAGCAGGAAAGCTGACGTTTTGAGTCTAGACCCTTCTTCAGAAATCATTCTTCAGAAATCAGAAAAATTTGTCTTGTCTTGTTTCTTTCTCTTTCCTTCTCTGATGACCAAAAAAAGGGTGTACCGTGGAATTTTCCAAAAATTCATTCATTGACTTTTATTTTGAAGCATCTTAAGTTGTGCTTCAAATCAGGTTGTTTTCTTCACCCTTTCATTGGTTAGCTTTGCATTTGGCCTGGAGCCATATCTCACAGCTGGTTTATTGCGCAAGACTTACATGCTCTTCAGTCAGAGACAGGAGAAACATTTAGACTTCACAACAGTGGTAGTAACATCAGTAACCATGTTTCAAATCTTGCTTGTGCTCCTGGTGACTTGGACCAGATCCTCTCTTTGTGGTAACGTGCTTGTCTGGAACATGGAAACCAGCCACTGGCTGAATGCAAAAAATATTATTGAAGAATTAATTGGAAAAGGTCATAATGTGACTGCCTTGCTGACCACAGCTTCAATCTTTGGAGTAAGACATCAGCCAGCACGAATGAAGACGGAAATTGTGGATGTTCCATTTGGACCACATGACATAGAGGCATTGATTGATGTTGTTCTGAAGTTGTGGATGTATGAGAAGCCCTATCTGTCTGCATGGGAGTTCTATCAAAGACTTAAAGTCATTATGTCCGATATGATCATCTCTAACAAGGTAATCCTCAATGCTGTGTTAAGGAATGAAAGATTCTTGGAAAAACTGAGACAATCAAAGTATGATATCATCCTTGCTGATCCAGTAGTTGTAGGAGGAGAACTGTTGGCTTTACAACTCGGGATTCCTTTTGTCTACACTCTAAGATTCTCTCCAGCTTCTGCAATGGAGAGACAGTGCGGTCAATTGCCAAGTCCTCCTTCTTATGTACCTGCTACTTTGTCAGAACTTCCCAACTTTATGACCTTTACACAGCGAATTAACAACCTACTCTCCTACATCATTCAGGATTTGTTCTTCTCCACGTTTTGGGGACAATGGGATTCATATTATAGTGAGATTTTAGGTAAGCATTTCAGTATTTTAAATGTTATAGGAGTGCATGAATAGAATTTTAATTTATAATATAATGTATAAAAGAAAAATAGGATATTCTTTGACTTAACATTGGTATGAATTAGCAAATGGATTTACAAGCAAGAAGCTTTTCTAAATGTAATTTGAAATGTTTGCATTTTAGTCAAGGCTTTTGCCTCCATTTGTTTTAACATAACAAAATGTTATCAAGGAATCAGATCCTGATTTTCCCAATTTCAAGGTCTGTGAAGAAAAAGAGGAGTAATTATTCTCAGGGCACTATTTCTTCCCTCAACACCAGGTTGAGAAAGGAGGGCGGAGGGGATGCAATTTCACTCCTTTGTGCCAGTTGCCATTACTGTTCAGTCTTTTGACAATTTTGCTCAGGCTGTTGAAGGGTGAGGTAGAGCAACCAGCCTGATTTGAATCAGTGACTGATTAAGTTTCTTGATGAACTTTTTGTTAGCTCAGCAAGAGCCAGTTTACAATTCTTGTGGCAAAGCAAAAAATCCATTTTGGATCTGGAACAAGTGGAAAGATATAATTGAACAATGGGAAACCAGTTGTAGCCATGTCATTGAATTAGGTGGCCCTATAGAAGGGTCCAAGGATAAGAGAGGCACGCATCCATTGGCACACTGTACATGTCAGCTGAGCAGAATTATTTGAGCAAATTATGTACGCATGCTTGGTCAGTAAAGTACGTGAACCTCCAGGGTTTGTGGGGCTATCAAAGGGGAGGGATAGAGTATTCATTATGAGTGTAGCTAATTGAAAGAAAAGCAATGACTGGGCATGTTTCTCAGGCACTCAGAGATAGGGATGAGTAGTGATTAGAATCAGCATCTTCAGGAGCAGATCTAGAGCTCCAGGCAAGCAGATGGCAGAGGATAGGAATGAGGGAGAGCCATCCAATCAGTTCTGATTGTACCACCAGAGGTGAAGCTACCTAGGCATATCTAACACTCACTGCTACAGTATACTGCATCTACGCTAACAGATTTGTACTTCCATGCCTTTATTGAAGATGACCTCAGGCATCACAGTACTATTTCCTAAACACTTCCAGTAGCTGTTAAAGTCACTGAGGCTTTGAACCTCTTCACCTCTGGCTTGTTCCAAGGACCAGCCAATTGTCAAGTGTCAGCACGTCAGTGTGCCTTGGAGGTCCCTGATGTCCTGTTACCAAAAACTGAGAAATTAATGCTGTTTCAAACAGATGGGACTTCTTAAGCTCAAACAGGAGTGGGATGCATCTCCATTAATGGATACCTGCAAAAGTAGGGCATTATCAATTGCACCTATGTGGCCATTAAGGGACAGAGTCAACAGCTGGTTAGATTCATTCCTGAAAGGACTTCCACCCTCTCAATGTTCAGCAGCATATGTGCTCTCACTGTCTGGTAGCTGCTATGTTTCCTTCACCCACTAGCAGTATAGCGTACAACAGCACTTTTTGACATCACTGAAATACCATGGATGGATTCTAGGACATAAGGATTAACCTTTGAAGAGATGGCAGCTCACGCATTTATGTGATCCCTGAGACAGAGGTATAGAAATGTACAACCAAAGTTACCTTCTAACTAGGACCGCCATCAAGCAGGCCAACGGGCTTCTGAGGATGGGGTTTTAGTGCCTGGACTAGTCCAGTGATGTAGGAGTGTAAAAAACACTCCTAAAAGGGTCCAATGCATTGTGGTGATCTTCTGCACTCTCCGTCACATGACTCTCCAGAGAGGTGTGGACCTTGAAGAGGGTGAAGTGCCTGATTGACACTGCAATTAAGGTGTGTGAACAAGGTAGGCAAAGATCAAAATGGGCTGTGCAGAGAGGTGGCTGAGAGCAAGTCACCAATCTGAGTTCTGATCAAGGTGATGATATCACGGTACATTCAATTTGTGTACATATTGCCTGAGTGTTTCTCACCCAGCAGGACTGCATTCTCCAGCATGCATTTTTGCTGCCTTTGAAAACACATTATTTAAATGCATAGCTACATTTTTTTACAAACAATGCAAAGTGCACATCTCATAGAATCCCTACAGTGTGGAAACAGGCCCTTCGGCCCAACAAGTCCACACCAACCCTCAGAGCATCCTACCCAGACCCATCCCTGTAACCCACCTAATCTACACATCCCTGAACACTATGGGCAATTTAGCATGGCCAATCCACCTAGTCTGCACATCTTTGGACTGTGGGAGGAAACCGGAGCACCTGGAGGAAACCCACACAGACACAGGGAGAATGTGCCAACTCCACACAGACAGTCACCCGAGGGTGGAATTGAACCTGGGTCCCTGGTGCTGTGAGGCAGCAGTGCTAACTTCTGAGCGACCGTGCTGCTTCTTCAGTGGTGTCTGTGTCACTATTCAAAAATAATTGTATTCCTTCATTATTTCTTCCCCCTTTTCCAGTCTAGTCTTTCAAGAAACGAACCTCATGTACCTGTGATGATGGCTCAACTTTTTCAGTGTTTATGAATACATTCCAATTAGCACAAACACACCAGTGAACCAGTCAGTGCTTTGACCAAAACTGTGGCCTCTGCAATTTGCTACTTTTACATGGTTCTCCCCTTGTGACATAAACCTGTTGGACTATAACTTGGTGTTGTGTGATTTCTGACTGTGTCCACCCCAGTCCAACATGGGCACCTCCACATCATGGCCTTCAATGGGGAGAAGGAAATCTAGATACCTGTGTCTGCTTGCGACTGAGATACCCCTGTCTCTTTCATCATGCAGTTTGATACCACACTCTTAGATTGGGTTCAAGACAGAAAAGTTGAGATGAAAGCAAAGTCAAGAACTATCTTCAGAAATGTAATCAATGAAACCAGGTTGACCTCGTTAACTATGAGGTCGTTGATTGGGGTTGTTAGCCTGGACCAATCAGGAAAGCACTGGCTGACCAATATAACCAGGAAATGCGAATTTCCTCAGTTCAGGTGACTGACTCCAAGCTGCCTGGCTACACCCAATGTACTTTGCACAAGTAAATACAGGGTGACTTGGTGATGGGATACCAGTTATTTCAGTGTCAAAGGGAGAGAGCAGGACATGCCTAAAGAATATTTGTTTGCAACAGTCATCTTGGAGTAAGTATTTCTGACTTCACGCCTTTATTTGGGAAGCTTGACTCATTTGATCCTGCCATTGAAGACTGGGTCTAGATGTGGAAAGAATGTGATACTTTTTCTGGGCAAATGACATTGGGGCAGATGAAAAGCAACGAGTAATCCTTTTGAGTGCTTATGGACCTGCAGCATTTTTTGGTTATAAGGGGCTTAACTTTCCTAGAGGCACCAGACACTAAAACCTTCCAAGAGTTGGAGTTGGTTAAGGAATATTACGACCCCAAACCCTCTCTAATCCTGAGATGCTATCTGTTTTATTCAGCTGTTAGAGAACTGGGGGTATCTGTATTAGGATTTTTAACAAGGTTGAGATGACTGGCAGAGGCATGTGATTTTGGGTTAACCCTGAATGCGATGCTGAGAGACCATTTGGAACGTGGGATTAATGATCTAGCCATGTAGAAACACCTGCTAGTTGAAGCCCAACTGGATTTCAAACAGTCATTACAACTGGGGTTGCCATTAGAAAATGCGCCAAGTGGAGCTTGGGAAATACAGGGCATCCCAATGGAAGTGACCTCCCTCACCCCTCCGACTGAGCATGGGGAACACCTCTTCAGTGTAGGCAATCTCAGAGCCTCACGCAGGGCATATCCTGGGCAGAGAGACCCTAGGCCAGCCCACAGCAAAACCCCACACAAACCTGGGCCTCAGCCCAGTGGCTAAAATGTTCTTCAGGATGTGGGCCGGCAAAACCATTGTCATTGCTGTGGGTACGCAGACAGCAAAGGAGCCCTACAAAGCCTGGCTTGAGTCAGAAAACTCATAGGCCAGAACCCAGGAGAGTGCACACCTGGAAAGCTCCCCCCCTACATGTGGGTTGGAACAACTAAATTACTTAGTGACCTTCAAATCGGAACTGATTAAAATTAATGTTTGGTTAAATGGTCACCGATTTCCTGTGGAGGCTGATACCAGCGCAGCTGTATGTGTGGTTTCAGAATCTGTCTTTAACAAGATTCGTTCGGGACTCCAACCCTTGCGTTTGCACAAGACCTCAGCCAGATTAAGAGCATACTCTGGTAACCATTGCAGATTATGGATATGATTTTGGTTCCGGTCTCCTATGAGAATCAGTTAGTGCAGTTACCACTGAATTTACCACCCGAATCATATGGAGGAAAATCCTCTGGTATAAGTAACCATTAGGAGTTAAAACACGTGTCAAGATGGAAAAAAACAAAGGCAGGAGATCACAATGAGTCAGGCAGCATCCATGGAAAAAGAGCAAGCTAATGTTTTGAGTCTAGATGACTCCCCTATCAAAATGATCAATGGCGGTGCAGAAATGTTCAGTCTATATCACTCATCTGATTGCAGTTACTCACAAAACAACATTCAACATTCTTTTGGGCAATCCTTTAAAGGAAGGAATGCTGATATGTCACTTTTTAAGAGATTAAATTCGTTAAATGCTAAATGTTAAAAACACGAAGCTAAATCCTCTTATGGGTGTTTAGCAATCAAATATATATAATGATACACTCTCATTGACAAGAAACTAACTAATAACATCTTTTGACCAATCTGTCAGTGTTCCTTGATGTCAGGCTTAGACTCAACCAATTTTATCCTGGCCATAGACTATTAATTCTTCAAGGTCTGGTTTAACGTTAGCACTCTTTTCGCTGAGAACATTGTGGATACAAATCCCACTCTGGACACTTGAGCACATAATCAATTGAGGGACTTTGGAATATTATATTTGTGATGAATTTTTAAGGCATAGGCCCATCTCCTCATGCCAGAATACAGACTGTAGTGTTACAGCTACAGAGAAGGTGCAGAGAAAGATTGATTTTAATAAATGTGAGGCCCGTTCAAAAATTTGATAACAGCAGGGAAGA